CCTCCAGACTTGTTTCTTTATCTTCCAAGTCATTTTAATGTGCACTCAAGATAGAGAACCACCGCCAGAGCCAACAGTGAGGTTTCAGCTTCCTCTTCTATGATCAAGTTTTTCCATTGTTATCATATTTGTGATGGTGCTTTGTGATCAGTGATCTTTAATGTTTATACTATGGCTCACTGAAGGCTTAAATGATCGTTATCATTTTTTAGCAGTAAAATATTTTAAAATTAAGGTATGTGCATTAATTATAATAAAATACAATTAAAAATACATAAAGGTATGTATTTTTAAGACATAATGCTTTATATACTTAACAGACTACAGTACAGTATATACATAAATTTTATGTGCACTAGGAAATCAAAATGTTTGTGTGACTCACTCTATTGTGATATTCACATTATTGTGGTTTTCTGGAACTAAACCTGCAATATCTCTGAGGCATGTCTGTAATATAAAACAATAATGAAGGAAAAGACTTTTCAGCATGTGAGGCTTGTATTATCAGCAATGTTTGATGAAATCTTAACATCTGGTCCCCATTTTATTCCCTTCCCCCAATTCCAGCTATATTAAAGAGTTAAATGTGAAATGTCCACTTATTATCACAAAAAAGAAAAACTTCAAAGAAATATGTTATCATGTATTTCTGGAATAGTGAAGATTTTCTACATTTAAAAGCAATGGTAACTATCAAGAAGAAAATATTAAGAGAAGTAATTCTACTAAAAGCAAAAAACCTTACATTTAAAAGCAAAACAAAATATTGGTAATATATTTGCAGTAAATATAACCAAGGGTTAATATTTTAAAACAAAAAGAATATACTAAATCTAAATAAAATGCTAAGATCTCAATAGGTAATAAACATGAAGAGATATTACTTTAAAAATATAACTAGATAAACTAAAGGATATGTTAACATTGATATTTGTTGTTGTTATGTCCGACTCTTTGCAACCCCATGAACTGCAGCATAACAGACTTCCCTGTCCTTCACTGTATCTGAGAGTTTGCTCAAATTCATGCCCATTGAGTCAGTGATGCCATCCAATCATTTTATCCTCTGTCACCCACTTCTCCTCTTGCCCTCAGTCTTTCCCAGCATCAGGATCTTTTCCAATGAGTCGACTCTTTGCATCAGTATTGGAGCTTCAGCATCAGTCCCTCCAATGAATATTCAGGGCTGATTTCCTTTAGGATTGACTGGCTTGATCTCCTTGCTGTCCAGGGGAATCTTAAGAGTCTTCTCAAGCACCACCATTCTAAAGCATCAGTTCTTCAGTGCTCAGCCTTCTTTACGGTCCAGCTCTCGCATCTGTACATGACCACTGGAAAAACCACGTGTGTGCTTAGGAGCTCATTTGTGCTCAACTCTTTGCAACCCCGTGGATTATAGCCCACCAGGCTCCTGGGTCCATGGAATTCTCCAGGCAAGAATATTGGAGTGGGTTGCTATTCCCATCTCCAGAGGATCTTCCCCACTCAGGGACTGACCTGGGTCTCCTGCATTGCAGGCAGATTCCTTACCGTGGGACCCACCAGGAAAAACTGTAGCTTTGACTACAATGGACCTTTGTCAGCAAAGTGATATCTCTCTTTTTTAATATGCTGTCTAGGTTTGTCATAAGTATTATCTAATATCTAATATTACAATATTATATAATATTTATTGAATATTTATTATATGCTAGATGCCATGTTATGTACTTTGCCCATATTATTTTATTTAATCCCCACAAACCTTTAAACTAGGTTCTATTAAGACCCTAGGTTTATAGATGAGTAAGTAGCAGGAGAGGTTAGGTGGCTTTGTGGCTGAGTTTTCTCTCTCAATTCTTTTTGTATTTATCATATTTGTGTGTGTGCTCAGTTGCTAAGTCATGTCCAGCTCTTTGAGGCCCTGTGGACTGTAGCCTGCCAAGCTCCTCTGTCCATGGGATTTCCCAGATAAGCATCCTAGAGAGGTTGTCATTTCTTTTTCCAGATCTTCCTGATCCAGGGATTGAACCTGAGTCTCCTGCTTGGCAGGCAGATTCTTTACCACTGAGTCACCAGGGAAGCCCTTATTGGAATTCGCCTGTTGTTATTCTCATTATCTTTATCAATAAGTATTTATCGTGTATTATGCACACATGCATGCTAAGTCACTTCAGTCGTGTCCAACTCTTTGCGACCCTGTGGACTATAACTCACCAGGTTCCTCTGTCCATGGGATTCTCCAGGCAAGAATACTGGAGTGGGTTGCCATGTCCTCCTCCAGGGGATCTTCCCAACCCAGGGATTGAACCAGCATCTCTTGAATCTCCTACATTGGCAGGCAGGTTCAGTTCATGGGACTGCAAGAGTCCGACACAACTTAGCACTATCTTTCCTTTCTTTCTTTACCACTAGCACAACCTGGGAAGCCCCATTGTTTATTATAATCTATAGAAATAGTGTCAGACTCATTTCATTTTACAGTATTACCTTTAGTAGATTCTAGCATATTAGAGTTATCTAATTTAGGGATACTATGAACCAATAAAATAGGTACTTCAAATTATTGAATTAGAATACAATATTATATAAAATTCAAGCTTTTCTATGTAATTTATAGGATCTGATTTTAAAAAGCTACATGATTTTAGGATTACAATCTTAAATTTCTTTTGGAACCTTAGGCAAAAAACTTGGGAAAAATTTTTAGAGAGGTAGTGACAAGAGAAAATTCTTTTTTTGGTCTGTGTAGGGTATTTTTGTTTGTTTAATTGTTTTGCTTTGCTTTTGGTCTATTCTTGCCAATTTTAAAGCCTCCCCCCTTTAAAAAATTACCCTTCTTTTTAACTCCCAAAGGCCAAGAGTTTAATTTTCAATTAGCTTTATAGAAGTCCATATGCATTGCATAGATTTGGTAAATATACTTGACAGATGATAATTTCAGAAAATTTTGTTTATTTAAGCTGACAAAAAAAAAAAAGACTTGCAAACCAATTGATTCCAACATCTGTCATGTTTGGACAGAGTGTTTAAACCACAGTTTGAATGTAAATTGAGTTTTGGCTGGCAAACAGGTTCATATTTCAGAAATGGTTTACCTCAAGAACATTTTGAGGATAAATGTTTTTTACCTTTTCCAAACGTTTATGCTAATTCAAGCATGGATGAGTTTAAAGGCAGAGGAGAAAGCTCTTGGCGAGGGAGGGATTAAAGACAGTGGTGAGAAGATTGTACCACTACTATCCCAGCATGAAGACGTGCATATTTGAGTTCTCTTTTCCCTTCTTAACTCTTATCAAACCAGTCTACAGTGTCTCTCCATTGCTTCCTTTCTTCCCTGATTTACATTGCTAGTATCCCAATTTAGTCCCCGACTCCCTTACTTAACCTAGGCCATTAAAATAACTTAATATTTCATTTCCTTGATTCTGGTTTCTCCTACCTTCATTCTGTCTCACTCAGGGCACCAGACACGTTTTCTTAAAGGACAGCCTTCCCCATCTTGCTCTCCCACACAGAATTTTTATTACTTTCTTTAAGTTTGAATTCCTTAGCCGATACTGCAAATTTCTACATTTAATTGGTGATGCCACACATTTGGTCTAATTTGCCGGCTTTTCAGGTGTTTCCAGCAGTCTGAGATGGTGAGACGTTCCCACTTGTGTTCTTACTACTCTCCAGGCATATTTTACACAATCCTGGCTGCGTGGTTTTGTTCAGGTAATTATCCATTTTCTCAAATTTGGTTTTCCATTTTAATAATATATTTTAGGAAGGTAGAGAGGTTGTATAAAGTTTGCCTAGATTCCTGAGCCTAGGTGTTGCATCCTCCTCCTTTTTTAAATAGACTATTTTTCAGGGAAGTTTTATGTTTATAGCAAAATTGAGTGGAAAGTACACAGAGTTCCCATACAACCCTTCCTCCCACACATACACAAACTTTCCTACTATAAACGCCCCAAATCAGAGCCGCGCACTCGTCACAGCTGATAAACCTACATCAAAATTATCCAAAACCGTCGTTTACATCAGGGTTCATTCACTCTTAGTGTTGAACATTCTTTGGGATTGGACCCATGTATAACAGCATCTATCTTCCATTTTAATATCACAAAGAGCAATTTCACTGCCCTAAGATTCCTCTGTGCTTTTCTTTTTTTAAAAAAATAACTTTGACTTCTAGCCTCTTCTCTAAAATAAGTTATTTATTTATTTATTGACTGTGCTGGGTCTTTGTTGCTGTGTGCAGGCTTCTCATTGCACTGAAAACCACATTACTTAGCTGTGTTAGAGAATACACAAGGCAAAGAAACTGCTTTAAACATGAAACTTGAAAAAAAATGACAATGCCAGGGGGAAAACATCTTTGCATTATTCCCCTCTTATGAGCACATGTACAAATCTGATTTGTAATATGAGCAGCAGACTTTTTGAATGAGGAAAAAGATTAATATGTGCAAGTGCGTGATGTATGATACAAAAAAGAATGGAAAAGCCACATTCTTGTTCTAATAAATTAAAGAGCCAGCATAAAATAAGAGGTGTTTTTGATCATCTCAGTCCAGAAAGAGACAAGAACAATTCTCAAATAAGGTTTCATTTAGCCTTTCTACATCCGTATACATTGTACCTCAATTTTATAAATTTCACATAGAGAGTAGGGCCCCAAATTGGCAATTAAATATCCAACATTTACTTATTTGCTCGTCTGGGTTGCTTTATAATGGTCTGTTGTTTTGACGCCTGATTAAAAAAACCTCTAAGTTTAGCAAAACTTGGCAAATACACTTACAAAATTGGGAGTTAGACTGGATTTGAATGTAGGCTTGGGAAGTTGATATGCTTGAGCCTCATCTTCACATGAAAATATTTAGACACTTTGCTGGATTCATTAGTAAATAGAGGTAGAATAGCTAGCACAGAACTCAACATTCAATAGTGGATGGGGATAAATCTTTTTTTTTTTTTTTTTTACCACAAATAAGATCTTTTATTTGTCACCATTAAGAGTCTGCATTTTAAACCGATTCTTGGACTGGTGGTTCGTATCCATCAGCTCGTTCAACTTTAGCACCTGTCTCGTCCCCAGTAGCTTTTCCAGAACTACTACCTTCACCATGTAGCTCCATGAGTTTTCCCAATTCAAATTTGGGCTTCTTCAGCATTTTTACTTTTCTAACGAAGACATCATGGAGTGGATAAATAGATTGGCAAGCCTTTTCTATGTCTTTTTCAATGCTATCTGGAATCAATTTATTGACCACCTCTTTCAAGTCGTTTGTCTGCACCTCTCGGGTCATGATCTCCATCATCTTCTTACGGATCTGGCACACCTGCTGGTGCTAGGCGTAAGAGGTCTTCCGGATCTGATTGTTGCGCTTTTTAGTAAAACCCACACAGAACAGACGAAGCAAGTAACCATCGGTAGTCTTGACATCAACATGAGCTTCAATCATGGTCTGCCATTTTTTGACTATGGAGCACATTTTGTCACGGGTAAGATCCATACCATGAAAATTAGTCAGGCAGTTTTTGCCCTGAACATCCTCAGTAATTAGCTTGAATTTTCTAAATGCTACTTCATCATTCTGCAAATCAGCAAGACTCACTTCAAAAACACGACCTTTGAGGCCATCAGACGCGATTTTGGTTCCTTGAGTTCTCGTGACCAATGTTTTCCCAATATTCCTTATATTGAACATAGCTGGTGCTTTCACATCATACCAATCTTTTTTAGAAAATGGGTCAACCACTTTCTTCTTGGCTCCCTTTTTGCCTCCTTTCGTAAGGCGCTTGTTCTTGCCGACCGCCATGGTGCAGCTCAGAGAGCCAAAAGGGGCGGGATAAATCTTATTGAGAGGACAATATGGTGGAAATAACCTAGACTGGGGATCTGCATGAATTTTATCTGGTCCTGATTGGAGGATTGACTTTTGAGGGATATTTGTGTCATCTTTCCCACCTTCAATTTCCTCGTCTCTAAAATGAGAAAACTGGACGAGATCAGCTGGTTAAACATTTTTATAGTAACCCAACCCTTTGTGTAAATGAAGTCTTAAACAAAAGGTCAGTGTTTGGAAAATGATAAAAGCAGAGCTGGTAGGGTTAAACCTAGCAAGTGGGGCCAGAACCAACCCCTCGACCTCCCCTGTTACCACCTCCCAGGACTGCCCAGGCACCTCCTATGATGTCTTGGACTCAGCAGAGCCTGGGAATAGATGATTGCCGAGATGCTCTGAACAGGTCTTTCTGCTCTGTGGATGTGTCTACAGTATAATGGCTTGATGATTTTTTTTTTTTTATTAAACCAACAGTTTATTGTGTCTCTCTCAGAAAGAGCCCAGATAGTATTCTTTATAACAAGAATGATGGAATGATGCAGTCTATCTTAACAATTAAATATGCTTAGTGACCATTGCTCATAACTCATTAAAGAATGAACCAAAATGCCATAAGAGTGTGACTTGGTGACTCAGACAAGAAAGAATCTGCCTGCAATGTGGGAGACCTGGTTTGATCCCTGGGTTGGGAAGATCCCTGGAGAAAGAAATGGCTCACCACTCCAGTATTCTTGCCTGGAGAATTGTACGGACAGAGGAGCCTGGTGGGCTACAGTCTGTGAGGTCACAAAGAGTCAGACACAACTAACACTTTCACTTCACTTTCATATCTCCAATCAGTCCCATACAATCATAGCTATCATAACTGGCAAAGTGGAAACAGTGTATGTATTTTTAACCTGTCACTTGATTTCCATCAGAGAGATGTTATCAACTCCATATAGGTCAAAGAAGAATTCCCAAAGTGAATAATTATTAAAGTTTTTGTGGAATATCCTCAATTCTAATCAGATTTAATTAACTGGATACTAGAGAGTGAAAAAGTTGGCTTAAAACTCAACATTCAGAAAACTAAGATCATGGCATCCGGTCCCATCACTTTGTGGCAAATAAATGGGGAAACAAGGGAAACAGTGAGAGACTTTATTTTCTTGGGCTCCAAAATCACTGCAGATGGTGACTGCAGCCATGAAATTAAAAGACGCTTGCTCCTTGGAAGAAAAGTTATGACCAACCTAGACCGCATATTAAAAAGCAGAGACATTACTTTGCTAACAAAGGTCCATCTAGTTAAAGCTATGGTTTTTCCAGTAGTCATGTATGGATGTGAGATTTGGACTCTAAAGTAAGCTGAATGCTGAAGAATTGATGCTTTTGAACTGTGGTGTTGGAGAAGACCCTTGAGAGTCTCTTGGACTGCAAGGAGATCCAACCAGTCTACCCTAAAGGAATTCAGTCCTGAATATTCATTGGAAGGACTGATGCTGAAGCTGAAACTCCAATCCTTTGGCCACCTCTTGCAAAGAACCGACTCATTGGAAAAGACCTTGATGCTGGGAAGATAGAAGGCAGGAGGAGAAGGGGATGACAGAGGATGAGATGGTTGGATGGCATCACCAACACGATGGACATGAGATTGAGCAAGCTCCGGGAGTTGGTGATGGACAGGGAAGCCGGGGGTGCTGCAGTCCATGGGGTTGCAAAGAGTCAGACATGACCAAGTGACTGAACCGAACTGAGATTCTACTCTCACTTTATCTTCAAATTCCCCTTTATAGGAGGGGCCATTACAGTCATTTTACAGATGTGGAAAATGTAACTTCATCTTCAAAGAGATCTGAAATCACATAGGCTATTAAGTGGCAAAGCCAATCTGCCAGCCCAGTTTTCTTGAGACCATGTTCAGTCCTCTTTTTATAAGTCATAAAAGCCAGGGAAGATACAGACAGAAAAATGTAAACACTTTCCTTTACCAAGAGTGTGTTTTTCCTAATCTGCTTGAGAATCCTAAGTATTTCAGAGACTCTCTCCGAATCATCTGATGACACAGAGTTCATAAGGATTCAGGTCTATCTGGATTTTTCAAAGGCATGATGGGTAAATAGTCTTTATGTTTCAAATTATAGTGCAAACATTTCTATCCTGATATTAATATTTATGGATTTTTTTGAGTTTCAATGAATAGTTCTCCTGATAATTCCTAAATCTTCAGAAAAACCTTGCTTTCATAAGTAACAAATTGTGTTATTATCCACATCTGTTCTCATTTTCTATAGGCTTAAAAAGTCCCTATTTATTATGGGAGCCAAAAGAAATCACTCTTCACCAGTGTCTATCGAATTCTGGCTCATTTGCTCACTTAATTCTTTATTTGCCAATGAAATGCTTATCCAAAATAAATAAGGGACCTACTAAACTGAAGTGATTAACTTGCAATGAGTCTCAGATTCCATTCACTTACGGAAATGGAATAAAATCCAACACTTTAGTTATACTGTTGTGATGTCAGTGGCCCAATTAGGCTGTTAGAACTGCAGGAGTTACTATTTTAATATCACATTAGCACATCATTAACTTGAACTATATCAAAGCAGTATGAAAATGAACAATTTTCATTTTTTAAAAGAGAATATGAACTTTTCCTGCTGCTTAAATTTGTTTCACGTGTCTATTGGGATGGGGGTGGTAACAGAGGATATGTAGAGTGCAGTTACATTTTAAATTAATAACAAGTTGCTCTTGAAAAGTGTGTATATTTAGAAATTAAATCTAGGGTATATTTTTAAAATGAAAAATTAGATGAATCCTTATATATTAAATTTTTTGGTATGCCTTTGTCTGTATAATTTTGTATAGCTTTGTTAGCTGCCTGAAAATCTTTTCTGGATCAAGATGGGTTAGAAATAAGCAAGTAAGCAAATACATGAAACACTATCTTTTCTATTTCCAAATTATGCCTATTGACTGAAGCTCTAAAGAAATATTTTGAATGGATGATTGCTATTATCTATGTGGCCAAATTATTATTATTTTTTAATTTGACACACATATCCCATTTTATTTTTATTATAATTTCAAATTGTAAAGTACTTTACAATTTCTAGTTGATGGAGTGGTAAAGAACCCATCTACCAATGTGGGAGACTCAGGTTTAATTCTTGGGTTGGGAAGATACCCTGGAGGAGGAAATGGCAACCCACTCCAGTATTCTTGCCTGGAAAATTCCATGGACAGAGGATCCTGGCAGGCTATAGTCCATGGGTTCGGAAAGAGTCAGACACAACTGAGCATACATGCACTTACAATTTCTAAAGCACTTGAACAGATAATAGCATTATTTCATCTTCATGTTACCTTGTGATATGGTCAGAGCAAATATCCACCTCTTCATTACACAGATGAGGAAATTGGGTTTTGACAATTTAATGCTAAATAACATCCTAGGTCAACACAAATCCATTTCCATTGTTTGTTTCTGCATGACTTTGGAAAAATTACTACTCAATGCCTCAGTTTTGACATCTGTAGAATGGGAACAAGCAGATAAGTATTGCTTGTAAGATTGTTGTGGGGAATAAATGAGATAGTCCATAAAACTCTTAGTATAGCACCTGAAACATGGCAAATATCTATAACTACTAACTGCTGTTATTATCATAGTTTTTGAAAGAAAACTGCTAAAGATAATTAAACTACAGAATGAAATTATAATACAGTATGAAACTGTTCTCACACTGTTGCTATGATACTCGTATAACATTACTTGTATAATGTTAATTGTCCACAAATTTTCTTCAGATTGATTTGCTCAAAATTGTTTCTGACCCCTTTACTCCTGGGGTTCATTTTCTTTCTTGCTGATGTGTGTCCTTCTGTCCTTTCATGAGGGCCTGTGAGGAGTAAAGATGTTTGTATTTTGTACATCTGAGAAAAGCCACAATTTTTGCCTTCATTCCTAAATGACGGTTTAGCTGGGGGGAGACTCTGGCTGTAGCCAGTGGGAAGGCTGGTGTACTTCTGACTATCACTCCTCGGTTGGCCATCCGTCCTTTCTCTCCGGTAACTTTCAGGACCAGGTGAAGAGTCTGGTTGTCCTTCCTGCTCTGCACTTGCACTATTGTGCACTGTTGGAGGAACTTACCTTTATTGATTACATTTGATGTTAAGCTACCACTTTGAATTAGATGCTCGTGGATATATTGAAGTTAGCATCACTTAAAAGAAAATATTCTTTCCCACCATTTCCTGTATTATTTTCTCCTGGAACGCCTATTAAGGCATATGTTAGAACTTCTCATTCCATACTTCCTGTCTCTAAATTTTCAATAGTATTTTCTCATGACTTAATTTTTCAGTTAAATATTTTACCTGCATTCTGGGTGATTTTCTCAGATCTGTTTGTATTCTCTCTTTAGCTGTGCTTAGTCTAATTTTTTATTTATAGAATTTCTATTTAGTTGTTTAAAATCTGCTTTTTTCTTTTTAAAAATAATCATTTGCTCTTCTTTGCCTTATTTTCTCTTCCTTTATCCCTTGAATAATTAAACATACTGTTTGTAATACTGCATTCTGTTTGCTCTATCCTGAAATTCCTTGGGTATAATTTCTCTTGTAGTTTCTCCTTCTGATATTCTTCCATTTGGGCGTGGTAGGTTATGGTCTGTGCGCACGTATGGCATGACAGTGCTATGTGGGCATCCCATGCATGCCCCAAGTGGTTGTAGAGTTTTTATAAGGACAATGTCATACAAGCCTTTCTGGAACCCTGGAGAAGATAACAGTTTCATGCTGATGTTTACTCCAATTCTGGGCTTGAAATGTCCAAACTCTTTGGGCCATGTAGGAGTTCAGGTCCCACGGGCAGTACAGACTCAAGGCTGCAGAATCTGGCAGCATAATCTGCTTGTATCCATGGCCTTGATGTGGACCTTGGTCCTGCTTGCTGTGGTGTGGTGATTCAGTGCTGGCATAGT